TTGTCTACCTGGCACAGGAAACTATATGGCGTACAATGATTGGGGTATTTTTTTTTAATTCAATAAAAGGTGTTATAAAGATTTTACTTATTTTATAGTGATTATTATTATAGTATCAGCTAATAAAGATGGTGTACCATCATCATCCTATACAGAAGGTGTAGTCAGAATCCAGCTTTTCGAATAAGTGCAGGATTAACATTTACTGCTCAACTATTACATGTGCTAGCATACTATTTAGATGTTAGAATGCCTTTCAAGATGATGTATAGGTAATCAAAATTAGATTTTTATTAGAAATTTTGTTTCTATATTAAAATGATTGATTTGTATATTAATTTTAAAAAAATATGATATCTAATTGATTATTTTTAAAAGAGTACTAAGAAATAACAAATTATTATTTACAAAATACACTAAGAATAAAAATTAAAGCTCATTATATTTGAAAATTATTGATATACTTCTAAATATATGTTTTGTTTCAAAATAATTAGGTTTTTTGTTATAGTGTTAACATAAAAAATAACTATTTCAGTGATTTCTGCAGCAACGATATGACCTATAGCCAATTTTCACGTCGGGTAGCTAGGCTCAATTCCAATGTATTGTGCCTTTGTGTATCTCAAGGTGTTTCTTCGGAACTCATTCATCCTGTGCAGACTCTTCAAAACATTATGCATTTGTTAAATGCTGAAATTAGCGATATTGGACGGTAAATTTGTTTTTTTTTTTGAGTTCAAATGAACAAACAAATAATAATTAAGTGAACATCAAATTTACAACTAAATTATTTTACTGTGCTATTTATGGATCATTATTGTTATCATTCTCTGCTTTTTTTTAGCGTTGGTCCATTAGAGCCTCATCATGGCTAACTGCATCAGCAATTTCTCAGTTAGTTAGAGATCGAACTAATGGGGATGAATCTAACTCAGAAGACGGTGATAATCTACCTCCTGAATGGGAAGCGGTATGTTTCATTTTATAAAGTGCTTCCAAGTAATAAGATGATACTGATTATTTTTAATTAGCTGTTATAATCTGATGGATTATGTTATTATTCATATTTTAACTGTCATGCCAAAATTATAAGGATATGTAAATATAACTTATAATTTTATTTTTGATTTTTTTCAATTTTTTTTAATTATTATGGGCGATCATATATATTTGGCAAGATGAATCGATATATCATTAATAATTTAATAATCTAAATGTTTATTAATAAATAACTTTTCAGTAACAGAGTGATTAAACATTTGTTCAACAGTTAATTATAAGTTATTTTATTCAGTTCATAAATAATTTTTATGAATCATTGCTATTCTTACAGTAAATATTTATTTTTTGTTTAAAAATTGATTTAAAGACTATGATCCATTTAAACTATAAAGCAATTCTTTTTACTCTGCTGATTGGTAAATCTGCTTTTTGTTGTAGATTTACAGTAATAAGTGCTTTATTTTAGGTTCCCTTGGTCGAAGTCAATGATAATATTACTGGGTTATTATCAATTCACCTCCACAACAAGCCATGAGCACTCAACAGGCCACTAGTATGGCTGGAGGTTTAGTTACTTCTGCTGCCGCAAGTATATATAGCATTTGGAGAGGCTGGACAGCTCGAAATTGATTACTATTGATATGATATTTTTAATTTAATCATAAAATTGATTGGCAATATGTATGTATTCATATATATATTCTAAAAAGTGCAGATATTCTTACAAAAGGTTTCTGATATGCATTGTTTTGAAAAATTACTTTGAATGATAAATTTCTAGAAACCTTTGATTATAACTGTAGACTAATAACTTTTTAAGAGAGTTGTTGAATTGCAATTCAAAACCATTTTAAATCATCAATAAGCAACATTATTAAAGAACAATTTGTGTATGTAATTATGTTGAATGTGATATTTAATGTATTGTTAATTGATATCATTTTCAAGAAACAGGTAAATATAAGGGTTAGTGTATTTTTTTATGTAAGAGTAGCTTTATGGGAAAAACTACCACAAAGATTTGCTTATTAAAAATTGAGTTTGTGCTATACTAGTGAAACATCAATTATATTATTACAAAAATCTATATTTATATACGCATATAGGCTTTGCATCATAGGGTATACAATAAATCTTCTAAGTGAATATGAATTGTGATTGAAAAATACTCTATGATGCAATTATAGGATAATGGTATAAATGATGTTTATGGATGTATATGGACATGTATCATCTGAATAAATTGAGTTATCATATACATGAATGCATATTTTATTAGACTAAACAATATTAGATAGATTATATATTTTATATAATATAAATTCTAAATATACTTTACTTTAAAGTCTACAGATTAAATAAATTGAATAAATGTTGGATTTTAGTATATTCAGTGTTTCAGTCATGTAATTAAAATGAATATTTATACACACGCTTATAATTTTTTGTCTAAAATAATTCTTCAATTCAGCATGATTTTATCTCAAAATGTAGTGGAAGAAAATCATAACAGTAACTTTTCTTTCTTGTTTTAACTCACAAATGGTAATCAAATTTGTTAATCAAGTGTGTGTATCATATACTATATGTTTAAATAAATACAATTATTTTTTACATTGATCAAAGCTACAAACAAAATAATAACGCTTATTCACATAAATCTAAATGATTAAATAATTAAATAGAACAAACATTGGAGAAAGTATTATACATGGTTATTATACAAATATTATTTTTAACTTGTTGAAGAAGGATTTTTTTTTCACGACGTTTTAGGTCATTCTGAATCATTTGAACAATCGAAACCAAAATTAAGAAAAAAATATTTAGTATGCGTGCATGTGACACAAAATTTGACATTTTTTTCATGTTTTTTAAATAACAGCTGCACCATTTTCAAAATTTTGAAAATTTGAGCTTGAATAATAGTTTAACTCAAAGTTGCTTTTAATCCTTGTTGATCAAGTCGATTATTTTGGGATATTCATGCAATTTACTTTCAGGCAAAACACACTTACAGTTTTTATTTTTTTACTTGAAAATTATTACAGCGACTTGGGACATAATATATCGTGTAGTATAAGAATAAATAACAATTAATTATTAACTTCCCGTAGGGTAAGTTATAGTAATCGCAAAAAAATCGAAAATGAAAATTTTTATATATCTTTACGTTTCAAAGGTTTCTGAATATTTTGGCATACTTAAGCAAGCAAGTGAAGACTGATCGGGTTCGAATTCCACGTATGTAATTTTTTTTAAAATTTTTTTTAATACTTTTTATGTTTATAAAGTTGATACTACATGAATCATTATATTTGTTTATCTATGACATGAACTATTCAAAATTGTTAACTCAGTGCATATATTTCGCGAACAAAAAATTGATGCATTTGAAATAAAACATGTTCATTCTAACCTATCCCTTAACTATGATTCTAACAATAAGTCCGATTAATTAGATTTTGTTTATATATATTTCATTCAAACATATATAAACAACGTAACAACCATAGATAAACAAGTATAAACAAGTATTGGTAACAACGTCGTCTAATCTAATGGCCCGCTCCATTGCACGAATCCGTACGGCGAATCTGTTTGCAATGTGCGCAGACTAAATTATTGCAAGCAAAAGCAAACCTCGCGCAAATATACTCTTCTTTTATCTACTCTCGCCATAGACCTTATACAATTTCATGGACTGCTAATCCCCATACATTTCTCAAGTAAAAAAGTGTCAAAAGATGTTCTATGGTATGAGGGCAAACGAGGGTAGTTTTGCGGCCGAGATATGTCAAACTCGATCACTTGAACGTCAAATGAAAGTCCTTGTGTTCGAAATTGTTGGGAAAATATTATATAATATACAATTTATGTTAAAATAATGAATGTAATGAATTATTTATATATTTATTTATTTATTTTAGTTATACAAAGTGTTTAAGAAAAATAAAAAAAAAATTAAAAAAATATTTTACGTATTATAAAATTCACTGAAAATAAGAACAGTTGGCTAGAGCTATTATGGGAAATTAGAAAGCAATAATGAAATATTTGTTTAAATGCGATATATTTGTTATTGATGTTTAAAAAGCACAATTTTTGTGTGAAAGTGGCGTACATATTATCAACTTTGCTTTTTTTATGTTCTTCATGGTGCATTCTAATTGTTAAATACATTTTTGCGACAAAGTTGATAAGGTCATGATAGTGCTGGACAAATTGCTGGAAATGGCTTGATCTAAAAAAATGTGCAAGTCCCAAGTCATTCAACTTTCGGAGAATCGTGCTTTCATATGAACTTTTGTACATTAAATTTAAAGAATTTCGAATTGGGTTTCTATATATAAATAATTTAAACATGCATTGAAAGGATATGAAAGATATCCTCGATTTTTTATATCGATGAATGTCGAATTTCCCGGAATACTTGCGAAGCATTCAGAACAGGTTTTACTGCAATCAGGAACTTTACCACAGACCAAACACATTTTAGAAGACATTTTACTTTTAACAATCTTATAACAGGTATATTTTTATCCTCTTTTAGTTTAAAAACCCGAGCGATCAAACATCACGTGAACCCAAGTAACTGTAAAATTTAAGCGATCGAGTGCATTCGAATAATCTCGGTAAAGCTCGTGTTCGTATTTGACATATCTCGGCCGCAAAATTACCCTCGTATGCCCTCATATCATAGAACATCTTTTGACACTTTTTATACGCTCAACTAGCAGTCCATGTATTGTATAAGGTCTATGACCCTAGACAATATACTAATGGTCTATGCATGGCCGGTAATCTCGGAACAAACGTCTGTAACCCGAGTTTAGTTAGAGCCCCTGCCGCCGGTCGCGCTTGTTTTTTTTTTTTTTTTTTTTTTTCACTTTGAAATAGAATTTGACATATGACAGATACTTAAATTAAACATGGCGTCCATTGTAATAAATTTTTCATGGAGAGATAACCTAGACAATATAATAAATGCTTGTTAGAGTAAAAAACAAATAAGCTGTCGAAGTGCATTGTTTAACGATGAAGAAATACCAAGAAAAATGCATGTATTATGTAGTTCCAGCGAGAAACGACGAAGTAAAAGTAAAATAAGTAATAATATTTGCCGGCTTTCAATCTAAGTGAGTACTTTTATTAATATGCATACTTCGAATTACTTTCATTTGATTGTACTATTCTGATATGATTTTTCATTACAGTTTAATAATTCAGAAATAATTGAGACATTTAACTATATCAATACTAGAAATTTTAAGGTTATAAATAGACAGAGAGAATTCCTGTCAGCTCTCTGAAAGGTATGTTATTAAATAACTAAATATAAATTAATCTTGTTCTAATAATGTAGGATCATAACTAATAATTCTACATCGATTTTTTCAGCAGTATAAAAGGAAAATACGTTCAAATGTAAAATGTTTAGACGGTTTACTAAACACATTCACAAGTGTACAAGTATTGATATGAGATGAATGAATACACAGGAAAAAAACAATAAGAATGAAGTCTGAAATGTGCTGAAATCTTTGCTGATCTCCCACTAATATTGAACAGTACGACTCGTAATTATATATTAAGTCAGTTTGGAGAACATACTAAAAACACTAATGATATAATCGTAAGTGAAAGGAAATTCTCAATTAATGGTGAAATTCTAGCTAGTGCAAAGGTTAATTTAGGTTTGGCTATGTCACAGGAAAAGTTTTTAAGTATTAATAATTTCATTTTGATATTACAAGAAATATTATTATCTGTGTTGTTTAATGATGATAAAGGGAATCACATTGTATAGATTTTCAGGAACTGTCAAATGACAGGCAAAGTATAATCATGATTAATGATAAAATTCTAAAAAGCAAAGGGATAAAACACCCTTAATGTGCACTTGCTTATTGCATTTGACTATTCTGAAAGAGATGTCAATAGCTTTACTCTAAAATGTCTTATTGTAGATGCTATAAGAAAACTATTAAGTACTGTTATAATAATATCAATGATTGTTGTTTTTCTTTAAGACAATGATAATAATGACATTTTGAACAAACATTTGAATGCACATTAACAATAGCGCAGAAAAGATTCCCAAATAGAGACTGTACATCATAGATATTATGTAACTTAATGTTAATCAAAATAAATATATATGTAAATATATATATATATATATATATATATATATATATATTGGTTATATATTGATCTGAATCAATATCAATCAAAGAATTGTGGTTATATATGTATGTATATATATAAATAATATATACATTCATGTACATTTCTATTCTTTTTGTGCTCAGCTTGAAAGGCTGATATGCTAAAATGATATTACACACACATATATATATATATATATATATATATGTATATATATATATATATATATATATATATATTTGTATATATATATATATACATTGTGGATAGCGTGTACATTTAAGTACATTTTTATGCTTTTCGCACATAGTTTTTACAGCTTACTACCATCTATTATAATCATATATAATAATATATATATATATATATATATATATATATATATACACATTGTGGATAATGTGTATATTTATGTACATTTTATGCTATGTGTGCATTGTTTATAAAGAGAACTATGTAGATATAATGTAGAATGTTTTTGTGAAAAATAAATGCTTCAAAAATTTTTTTTTTTTCAATTTTTCTTTTTTTAAATTTTGAATTAAAACGGTCCATATAATTTTGGTTCATTTCTATAGTATTTTTTATACGCACCCGTTCAGGCGACTAGTGCCATCTGTAGCGCGGGGCTTCAACTAACACAGGAATGTGGCAACGAAATATGGCCCGAGAGAGCGATCTATATACTCTTCTTTTATCTATGGGTCTATGACTCTCGCGCATATCAAAAACAGATTCCCGTTCGTTAGGTGTGGATGCACCTTTAGATACATGAGCACATTCATAGATAAAAAAGCCGGGACATTGCCGGGAATGTCGGGTTGGCCGGGTACATTGTGTAAGTGGTACATGTGACTTCTATCTATGCTTCCATGCTTCTATGCTCGTACGATTGTCATAATTTATAAACATAACCAATAAATTTAAGATACGGAGTTTACGTACTGTTACTTTTTTAGGAAAAAAGAAGTCATAACATAATAGTTCTCAAGCTCAAATGTAATCGTTGCGAGAAATTATGGTTATTTGTAAATAAAATTGTGCTAAAATGTATAATCAATTTACAAGCATTCGATCATCTGTTATTGATGAAATAAGTTTAGAGGGTTTGGATGGCATAACTTGCGAAGGTCGGTTTATTATAACATTATTCAGAGAATTTCAATTAATTTAATAGCATTATATATAACTATTAATAGTCAAGACATTTCTATTGTAGCTATTTCAGAATAGATTTCAGAAAATAATTAGTTTACCGTTACTATAACTATGGAGCATTTGATGTTACTTTAAATTCAATGCTGCCTATAGATGTACTTTAATTTAATTATTATAATATATTATAAATTTTGTACATAAGTGTGTAAATAAATTTTGTTAAATTTATTCTTAGGTATAATACTACATTGATGTATAACATGTACAACGTCATTGAATTGCAACTACTCTCTACTTTTCAAAATTAAAATATTATATAAATGTGTTCAGTTCTAACTTCATTCCTTTAGTTTTTTTTGAATAAAAAAATGTTCAAAGAGTCTTTAAATGTTTATGTAAATTCATTCTATTTTATCCACAATTTGGGTTGATTTGAGAAATACATTAGTGCCATTTTTATGATTTGCGGATACTCTAAAGGGTTGTTGAAAGTAAAGAAATTTTCTGGCATTCTAAACTTTTTTCACACACCATTTCTTTTGCTTTTGTATATGTTTTTTTAATCCTTGTAAAGTAAATATGCACATTAAAAAGCCATCACCAAAATAATAACTATTATATAACTATTATATTTCCAGGACAATATATTTTAATGATTTCAATTATTTTATAGCTTTATGGACTAGATTATCAGATCGTCTTATCTTGCCGTTACCTCTGCCAGAACAATTATGTAGCCAAGTTTGGTGTTATGTAAAGGCTTCAAAAGAAATTGAAATCTATGAATTACCCGAAGAACGAAATCGTTTTGTATTATTTGATCGATATGAGTTAGTGGATCCTCTTTTGGGAACAGTTATGGAACCAGTACGTTTAATAGCTTTGATTAAAGCCATTGCTTGATCTAGATATACTGAGTTTTTTTTACTTTTTTCTGTTATTATCAAACTGTTATTTGTATTATTAAACTCTCATTATTATAAATTCATGTAAGTTACTTAAAGATTTCACTAATTTTTATATAATTAATTATAGAATTCTATTATTTTTATTGTAATAATAGAATAATTTTCTATAAAAAAAGAATATATTGAAGAATTCTTCTATTTTTATTATAAAAGTATATTTTTCATTTGATTAATACTTAATAAATTATTTATAGGCTGTTTTACCACCAGTGGTTTATAAAAATCATCCCATTCATGACAAAAAAAATAACATAATGGGATCATGCTCAACATATAATACCAGAGTCAATATTACATTGGAGGCTAAAGAAATGACTTTAGATGAAGCTTTAAAAAGGTATATATATATATATATATAATATATATATATATAGATATATTATATATATATATGAGTGAGTTCTTGAGGGCGATACATCAAACAAAGAAAAGCCAAAGATTTATAAAATAATCTTTATTTCCATGGAATAAAGATTATTTTATAAATCTTTGGCTTTTCTTTGTTTGATGTATCGCCCTCAAGAACTCACTCATATATTTCAACATCAAAATTAACTACTAAATCATATATATATATATATATATATATATATATATATATATATATATATATATATATATATATTTTCATTATTTTCTTATATCTACTAATATTATTTACAAAATATGTGTTGGTCATCATCATATTCTAATATTGTTTAGGGTTATCATGATTGTACAAATTGCACATTTTCCAGTAAACCACAATACGTAATAAAACTTTTAATATTACGTTTTTCTATTTTTGGACACATTTTGTTCCTAAGTTATTTTCAGTTTTTATTCTCAATATTTATTAAAGAATACTATACAATATATATAAAGCGAAATGCTTTTTCAGATGGTGATATATTATGATAGAGTTGTTCTTGGGCATCCATCCAATAATGAAAACGATTTTATTGTAGAAAAATGATTTTATTTCAATATCATACGTTTCGGGTCTCGATTTGACCCATCTTCAGTGCATACAAATAAATTAAAGAAAAAAGCACAAAAACACAAAGATATGAAGACCAATTGATATAATATTGAGTTAAAAATAAAATATTTTTTTTAAAAAAAAGCTCTTATCATTAAGACATGTTATTCGTTTGGAATTTGTTCTACAAGTGATGGATGCCCAAGAACAACTTTATCATAATATTTCACCATCTGAAAAAACCTCTCGCTTTATTTATATGTATATATATATATATATATATATATATATATATATATATATTACATATATATATATATATAAATATTTTGTAGAGTTTCGAACAAGAATTCAAAAATAATAAAAAATAAAAAAACAAGAAAAGTTTTTAATAAACAATTTCTTTATTTAATTATTTGTTTACTGTCGACGTTTCGGAACTAGGTACGTTTCATCTTCAGGACATCTGTCAAGAAACATGATCTTGATGAGATTTTAGCAAACAATATGTTTAGGAAAAGAAAATAGATTTTTCCTAAATAATAAATTAATTGCAAAAAAATATAATAATGTACAGAAATATGATAATATGATCAAAATGAAAATAATAAAAATGATAAAAATAAATGAGTGGATTATCAGAACAGGATATTAAACATAATAGAAAATTTTCATTTTGATCATATTATCATATTTCTGTACAGTATTATATTTTTTTGCAATTATTTATTATTTAAGAAAAATCTATTTTCTTTTCCTAAACATATTGTTTGCTAAAATCTTCAAGATCATGTTTCTTGACAGATGTCCTGGAAGATGGAACGTACATAGTTCCGAAACGTCGTCGACAGTAAACAAATAATTAAATAAAGAAATTGTTTATTAAAAACTTTTCTTGTTTTTTTTATTTTTATTATTTTTGGATTCTTGTTCGAAAACTCTAAAAAAATACACAAATCCAAGATTCTACCATTCAATATATATAAAGATATATATATATATTATATTATATATATTAAGTTTAATATGAACAAAACAGCACTCAGATTTTTAACACAACTTTATTTTATGATTACAGACGTTTCGAGACCATGGTGTGTCTCATCTTCAGTGTAATTTCCAAAAACAGTTACTTATATACTACACATTCTTTAATAATTTATTTAAATTTCATTTAATTTTTGATATACAAAAAACACCAACTATTCCTTGCAATGCTTGACACAGTACTAAAGAAACATATAACACTTACAGAAATATTCTAAACACATTTGAAGTACTTATCTAGATGGAGACAGAATGGGTATCAATATAATGTAAACAAAAGGAGTGCTGTCGCATACAAAAATCGATAAAAATGAAAAAACAAATTAATTTATTGAAAAGAATAAGATAAATGAAAAAATTTATAAATTATTAATGATGTTTATATAAGTGTCATGTAAAATATTTGTGTCGGTTCTTAGATTTATGCTATTGTTAGTCCGAACTATTAACATTGATTCTGCCATGCTCCGGGTCCGGGAGATACATTAATTTTAATTCGCATGTTCCTCTCAATATAAAAATTTCTACCATTCTAAATCTTGTAGATCACGCTATTTTATTATCTGATCCTCTGTTTTATGATACAAACATAAAATTAGTTAAAACGATCCTACTTGGCAATAATTTTCCATATAAGTTAATTTGTCCAATTATTAAAAATAGAGTCGCAAAATTACTTGAACCTTTTGATAAGAAACCGGAAGAGCCTGGCAAAACAAGTGTTCCTGAAAAAACTTTTTTCATTAATTTTCCATATCTTGACAATAATTTTAACCAATTATCAAAAAGACTTTTCAAAAAACACAATATTCATATTACTTTTTCTTCATTAAAACAATTAAAAATTTTATATTCCAAAATTAAAGATGAAACTCCATTAACAAAAAAGAAAGATATAGTTTATAAAGTAAATTGTTTGGATTGTAATTGCTCTTATATTGGCCAGACCTGCCAGAACTTAGAAAAGAGACTCAGGCAACATGAATTACAATGTGAAAAAATAGATAACAAAAAATTTAAAAGTACACTTGTGGATCATGCTAATATCAACAACCATAAGTTTGATTTTGACAATCCCCAAATTTTATTCCATGAGAAAGACTTATTTAAACGGAGCATGGCAGAATCAATGTTAATAGTTCAGACTAACAATAGCATAAATCTAAGAACCGACACAAATATTTTACATGACACTTATATAAACATCATTAATAATTTATAAATTTTTTCATTTATCTTATTCTTTTCAATAAATTAATTTGTTTTTTCATTTTTATCGATTTTTGTATGCGACAGCACTCCTTTTGTTTACATTATAATGATACCCATTCTGTCTCCATCTAGATAAGTACTTCAAATGTGTTTAGAATATTTCTGTAAGTGTTATATGTTTCTTTAGTACTGTGTCAAGCATTGCAAGGAATAATTGGTGTTTTTTGTATATCAAAAATTAAATGAAATTTAAATAAATTATTAAAGAATGTGTAGTATATAAGTAACTGTTTTTGAAATTACACTGAAGATGAGACACACCATGGTCTCGAAACGTCTGTAATCATAAAATAAAGTTGTGTTAAACAAATCTGAGTGCTGTTTTGTTCATATTAAACAATTAATATTCGTTCCACTCATATCATAAAATTATATATATATATATATATATATATATAATATATATATATATATATATATATTGGGGTTTATACAAAACCGACATTTCAAATTTAGTGTAATTTAGAGTAGTATCTGACTGAATTTATTTATTGTTCAATTTTATAAATAATAGACAAAATTATTTTAGTTTTAATTAGTAGAACTAAAAAATAATAGTTTATCATGATTAAATAACTTTGAAAATAATTAATCGTTATTCATGCATGATTTTCACATATAAGAATGAAAATATTTTTATGATAGGGAAAGGAAAGTTTTCGAATAAATAAAAATAATATTTTTTTAAATAAAAAAAAATTCATTAAATTAAAAAAAATAGATACATGTTGATACATACTTGTTAATATCAATTTTAGTTTTAAAAACAAATTAGCTAAACTCGAGTATTGTCTGTTCCGAGCAATTATAATTAATTAATTTTAAACATTCCAATTATTTTTTTGTTTAATAAAAAATGATTTCAAGAAACTGAGAACATCTATCGAATTTCTACTTAGACGAGTCCTTTGTTTACTCACAAAAATTCCTGTAATAGAAAATACTCTTATACTTGCGACCAAATTATGCTTAATTGTTTTTAAACCCTGATATAATAATTCTAAGTTTTTTGTTCTTTAATTTGTGGCTTCTAGGGTTTAAATCTCTTTTTTTTTAAGTTTGAGTAGATCAAGTTACTTCTTCAAGAAGAAGTCACACTGATTTAAATTAATATATACACTGGTATAATAATCTAAATATATACAAAACCTTTCTGGGAACCATTGCAGACTGATAAGATATCAAATGCTATTGAACCGATATGATTTCAAGAATCAAAACCATATTTTATATATATATATCGTATTATGTTGAAGGTGGGGCATGAAGTTGGTGATGGTGGCCGATCAACCAACACGTAACAAAGTATTAATGGGCGGTGATTTTTGTGAAGATATAGAACTTTCACTTTTGCAATACTGTATTCTTGAAAGGATTGGACGAGCTCGATACCAGGGAGAGGTATAAAACATAATAATAAAAAATATATCAATTTATTTTGATTATTCATGTTAAGTTTTTCGAGATAGTGTTTTGCAGAAATATGTTTATGCACTTATAGTAAATATATATATATATATTATATATATATATATATATATATATATATATATATATATAGGATATTCAGTTTTCAGGGCAATACATCAATTAAAAAAATTTGTATGACTTTAAAACATTTTTATTTTTTCCATACGTTTCGACACATTGTTTTGTGTCATCTTCAGTGGACTATGTAATTGAATTAATCCTAATTATTTCATATTATAAATGTTCACAATGCACAATCCTAATTATTTCATATTATAAATGTTCACAATGCACTAAAAAACCAATCCTTGTCATTTAAGTTGAACAATATATAAATTTTTGACTGAGATTTTTATGAATTTGTAAAGTACATCACGCCGTACATTTCTGTGCTCCGATGCACGGGTGACGACTGAGTCGACTCAGTATATATATATATATATATATATATATATATATATATAAATTATCTCCGGTCTTACACGGTACTCGTTTTACACGTTTTCGATCATTTAAGATTTTAAAATGAAATTTCATGTAAAAAGTAGTTGGTATTGGTATTTTGCCTTGAGACAAGTTACATGAGCTTCCCGATATGTGTAAATATTCGACTTAATCAATAAAAAATAAATTAATTTATGAGTGATTAAAAGTATTCCGAGTGGATTTATTTATTTATACGTCAATTCGGAGTATTTTCTAAAAACTAATTTTCAAAAATCAATAATTTTTATAATTGAACCAGTTTTCGTAGGACTGTTCAGTATGTTCATTAAGATCAAGTAATCTATCGTTATACTAAGTAAATCGTGTAATTTTAATTTTAACAAATGTCAAAAATATTACTCATTTTCTCAAACTTTGAAAATTAAACTACTTGTCGTAAATTAAATAATATTTTAGTTAGTTCTATAAGACCATGATATATATGGCCAAAAATTCCATAAAAATCGGCTTAAATTTTTTTTTCAACAGTTAATTTCAAGAAAACGGTTCATTACCAACTAATATCTTCCGAACAGTTTGATTTTTTAAAATCGATTTGGTAGTATAAGCTTAAATGTGGACGAAATGTTTAACACTTCGTCAACAATTTTTGCAAACATTGACGAATTTTATTAGTTAAACGAGTCTAATTTTAATTTTAACAAAAGTCAAAAAACTCATTTCCTCAAACTTTGAATTTTTTTTAAATTGAACGACTTGTCGCAGGGCCGTAATATTTTAGTATGATCTATGAGACTATGGTATCTACCGTCAAAAAAATAATAATAAAAATCGTCGAAAAAATTTTTTTAAACACTTTATTAGAAAACGGCCCGGCCGATCTCTACCAAAAACTAATCAGCACGATTCCCAACCAATATCTTTCGAACGGTTTTTGAATTTTCATAATCGATTCAGAATTGCGGGCTAAAACGTGGACGAAATTTTTTTTCACTTTTCTGCTATTTATAAAGAAACAGCGTAGTCGATCATCGCACAAAACTGACAAACAATAGTCCTCATCGAGGTGCATCGAATGACTTTTAAATTTTTAAATCGGTCCAGCCATTTTTGAGAAAACCTCGATTTACGACAAAAAAATGTGTACACACATGCACACACACACATACATTTTCCAATTTGATCTCATTCGATTCAGAATGGCTTGAAACGTCGAGAAAACATAAAATTAGCGGATCGGATTTTTTATGAAAACAAACTTCTCCTGCGGGAAGTTAATAATGGATTTCTTTTTCCCCAATGTAATATATGTTGAGTTCGCGTTCGTTTCCTTTTTGTACATTTATAAAATATTCACATTTATATCCGTGGGTGCAACGAAAAGGGGTCGTATCTCTTGAATTGAAGCTTGAAATTATTGAAAAATATGAGGATGGCGAGGATGTACATGCGTAACACCTTGTAGATTGGTATTTAAACATTATATGTAATGGTATTTAAACGAAAGAAGTTCATACAGGATATAACTACAGTTTAAAGATTTACAATCATTTCTGATAAACTCTAAAAGTATAATAACTGTAAAATCAATAAACTCTAAAAGTTTGTGGATAAAAATCACACTAAAAGATATAACAGTTCCGTGATATGAATGGACAGAAAAAAAACAATAATTAAATTAATAAATTGTAATATTGTATTTTTAATATTCAAGAAAACTTAAAAAACCAGCTCTTTTACCAGTATAAAATATATTAATAAGAAACTTCTTTTAGGTGACATTAGGAAAAATATCTTTGCAAGATATGAAACTTGATGCAAAATCTTTGTTTTATCATCGAAAAACTTTAATGAAAAATAAATTAATTATGAAACAGGTGAGTTTATTATTTTGCTTGCTTTATTTTTATTTATTTAATTATTACATTTTTCACTTCATATATAAAGTACTGTATTTATTATAGGTATTGTTCAAGCCAACAAAACTAAAAATACTTATTTTCTATATTTATAGGTTCATTACCAAAAGTCTGGTTTTCAAAACTCATCTGGTAGTTTATTGCATCTTCCAAGATTTTACGTGGAACGTAAACCAAAAGCTTGTTATATGACAGCAGAGGTTGTAGAGATATTGCGAGAGAAACCAAATTATATGGCTGAATATGATGAAATTAAAAAAAGAATTGGTTTAGAAAGCAGTACCAAAAAATTGTTTAAAACTAGTGAATTTCAGAAATTTGTTAGAACTGATGTAGTGAGTATTCATCATTAATTAAATTGTATAAAAATAATTGGATGAATTTCATGTTTAAGCATTATTGAATTTTGAAAAACAAATACTTATTTAGGAGAATTTAGAAAAGACTTAAAAAATATTGTATCATATTAGTAAAGATCAAATCGTATTGAGCAGAATTTTTTTTTCAAATTTATAGCTCTTACCTTATAGAACATTGTATCCGAATGCTAAAATTACGGAATGGAAACGAAAAGGCAGTGATGCCGAGAAACAAATTCGTGTTTTACAATTAATCGATCCTGATGTTGATGTGTTAGATTCTTGGACTAACGATGAAGATCAGGAACCCACTAGTGAAGAAACAGGTGAAAGCACTTGTTTTGTAATTAACATACTAAAATTTATGAAAAGAAATATTTTTAATTAAGTGATACTATACAAGAAATTTATGATACTGCTAAATATGTGTAACTATAATTACTGCTAAACAATATAGAAAAAATTGCAGTATGTACTATTATGTTAGTATTAACAGATATTAATTAATATAAAACAATACATATATACAATATATGTTAATATTATAATATTTATAGATCATTATAATATTTATAGATTATTATAACATTTTTAGGATTAATGGATTATTCACAGTTATCATTAAGTCGCAGTTTATTGTCTCAAGCATACCAAATGATTGAGTTGGCTGGACCATCTGGTGTAACTCAAACAGAAATTGGAAAGAAAATGGGTCAATCGAAATTATGTTCTAGGATGATTTGCAGAAGACTGCTTTCAGCTCAATTGGTTTGGACAATGCTGGAGGATGTTGGAAGACAAAGAGTATCTAAGTATGTAGAAACATGTGCTGATTTTTACATTTATTTTTACAGCTCATTCTATCAGTTTGCAGTTCACAGTTGCAAATAATATCAGAATTTTACATTACTTTAGTTAACAGCTAATAAAAAATGTTTTGCTTATTGATCCATATTTTTGAGGACAGAAGCCAGGTAGCAAACAAAGATTGCTTTATGACTATAATTTGAGAATAAACTTTGCCGGTTAAGTCTGGTTTCACTTTAATTTGTAATTTTATTGGTGATGTCTTTTTATATTATCATTATAATAGTCTGCTACTATAATTGTTTTAATATTTTTACACTTACAATTTATCTGATTGTTTGTATATGTATTTAAATAGATATGTATCATGTAAGTTCAATGATTCCAATATGGCTGAGGCTTTTAAATCAGAAAGGCAAAAGATGTTAAAGTTTTTATCAACCACAAAGAAGTTTGTACCTGCTTTGCAATCTTCACCAAGCGATAATACTGGGATTACACAAGGGGTTGAAGTATTGCAATCTGAAGATCCAATTTTAGGGTATGATCACTTGACTGAAGAACTCCTATTGTTAAATGATGAAAATTCAAATCCAGTCAGAGCTTCTTCACCTACCGAAATGGAAGAAGTCCCTAAAAAAGATGATGTTGAAATTAAATTTATTGAAACCAAGGTTAGAACTTAGTCTGTGTTTAATATGAAAGTTTGTGAACCGAATGTAACATGCCATTAGTATTGAAATACGTTTTTCCTAAATTGCAACCTATGGCAATGTTTCATAAAAAATTATCTTATGTAATGTATCCATTCACTTTGGTATTTTAACTTTTATGTAAAATAGTTCTGATGTATGTTACCATGATTTACTTTGAAAAACGATTTTCAGGTGAATCCTGATGTGAAAGGTTATGCTTTAAATACTATGGATTGGAGTATCAGTGATAGCAATAAGAAGGATACTTCTGGAATATCCTTTAGGTGATATAGTCTAATTGCATTAATAATTTTATTGACTTTATTTTAATTCTTTTCTTATACAATACTTAATTTTTTGGATTATTATTTTTAATCATATCATATAAAGAACCTTACAACAATTTTAAAATAAATACAATTAATTTTATATTAATTTTCAGAAAAATTAAATTCATCATTTAAAATTTTAATAAAGTGTATATTTTCAGGTTATTGAAAAGAGCTAATATGATTATTCAGAGTGTTCGGGAACATCAAGTTATAACAGACTCATCAAAATTAATGAAGCTCATTCAGGAAGAAGAAGTTAATGAAGGATATTTCGTGAAAATTGACAAAAAATCTTTGGTTCGAATGTTAATGAAATTATCTAAAGATGGGTATCTAAAAATTATTCAAGCAAAACTTGAATCCAAACGAAAGCAGAAGATTTTGACATTTATTTGTGAATGTGATGTAACAGCCAACCACTCAATAATTGTGTCAGAACTAGAACAAGCGAAAATGAAAATGTTTACTACGCCGCCTGTGAAAATAATGAAGGTTATACAATTTTCTCACTTAAATTTCTTTATATCACTATATGTATATATAGTATACGATACCGGTCAAATATTGATAAAATGTACAAGATACCATGGTTTTCTTCCTTCATTGTTTTTTATTATCAATATTTATTTATTTATTTATTTTTATATATGCCAATTGGCTATGTAGAGTAAATTTATAATATTACACTAATAATTTAATAACTTAAAAATCTAGTAATATTAAATTTAAATACTAACATATAAAAGAATATACGTACACTTTATGCATAATGCTTTGGTAATATAATCTTATAATTAATTGCACATATTGTTTCATTGTATAGAACTTTGAGGTATTAATTTTTTTTATGTTGGTCTCAAAAACGTTTTGACAAGTTTCGAAATAGTTCAAACTTCCGCAATATTTGTTCACTACTTTGGCTAATATGTTTAAAGTGTTATGCACACATTTTTTGAGGATTTAGTTGTATTGACAACTCTATTTGATCGATGTCTTTATATATATATATATATGACATATATATCTTCTTCGTCTTCACATAATATATATATGTATATATATATATATATATATATATATATATATATGTATATATATATATGTCAAAATTCTCTTTAAGGAGCCCGGCATTGTGCACAGTGAATCTGAAAGAGAACCAAGCTTTACATGTGAAACAATTGCACAAAGCAGAAATGAATTAAAGAAAATTGCAACAAATTCCATAAATAGAACAATATTTTATGATGTTAAAATTGCTAAGAAATATGGTTATCAACCAAAATTGGTACGAATGAAGATACTTCATAATTTGCTATATCACCTCATTTATGATGAAATTGGTAAGTTTACCAGTGATGGAATTATCAATTATTAACTATTTTAAGTAAATACATTTATAATAACTCACAAGATTTAAACAATAAATAATTTTTAAATTGACTGTATAATTGCTTAGGGTTTTAGGAAAAATATTAACAATAAAATGTCTTAAGTGTGACAGCTTGTGATTAAAATGTACCAAGAAAAAAAAATTTTTAGGTGAACCATTGTCTCAGCAAGAGTGTCACGATTTTTTGGAAATACAGGGTTGTGATATGAAATCAGATATTAAATCTGAATTAGCCCCTATTTACACAAAGGAAATATCCTGGAAAATGTTTATCCCACCTTTGCCAAAACACAGTGGGTGGCCAAAGGGTTGGACATTAATGTGTGATGTATTGCTTAGACTTCCATTATCAATATTTTTGAAAATTTGCAATATTTCGTATCAGTTGCCAGGCATAGATTCTTATTTAGATCACCCAATAAAAAAACATTATTTGATCAAGCATCTGCCTATGGATTTGAGAAATGACTTAACTATGGCTAGAAAATACATATTTTCCATACATGAGGTAAAATATTTCTATTAATATGTATTGTTGTGTGGTTCTATGTTTTAAATATTGCTCATGCGAAATCGCCAAAAAAAATGTTATGGAATATAATATAATTTTAATTGTATCTCATACATTCAAACTAATTTTAATTAAAATTGCAGTCTTGTTATTAGAATATTTACGAATATTCTGATACATTATAAGTATATGAATTTCTATTAACAAATTTACTTGCTGACAATCATTGCTCAGTTTGTTATACACTTTATTCAATTTTTTTTAGATAATACAAAAACTTTGTTATATTGGGCTTGTCCAATTCGGACCACAGAAGTTAAAGGAAAAGGATCAAGTATTTCTTATATTTAAAAACGAGCTGTACTTTTTGATACCAGATCTTCAGAACCAGGATATCACTTAACCAAAGAACAGGATTTTCCTCGTTTTGAATATGAATTCAGATCTACAGCAGATGTTGAAAAATATTGGTAATATATGATAATTTTGCTTATTATTCAATCATAAGATTTGCACATTGAACATATTCATGTCAAATCTACTCTTAACTTCAATGAATCTAAATTTTATAAGAATTTATTAGCGATTAGAATCATTATATTTTGTCTAAATAAGTAAGACTTACTCTAAGTTGTCTGGAACCACCAGTGAGGGCTGGTAGATACGCGAGAGAAACTAGTG